AAAGAGAAAGTTGTGATGCTTTCAATCTTGCTAGCCTTGGGTTGATCTTGAGCTCTACCTTGCTTGGGCAGGGTTCAAGTTTATCTCTATAGAACTTAGGGAGTTAAGAGGAAAGCTAGGGTTCTCTCTTGAGAGCATCTTTCTCTAGGGGAGTTTCTCTTTAGAATATTTCAACTTTAAGGGGAACAGATAATCGACTGTTTATCTCGTCCAAATCAAAAAAGGTGGCTAAACTAGGCCAGCGATACTTCAAATTCTGCTCTAATCCCTGGCAAAGCTTCCCTCAACCCCAACCTGAGACTTCCCTTCTTAACTTCCGGCATCGAAACAGACGATCTGCCACCCCCAAATTGTCGAGCATTGTGAGACCATTGATTTGCATCTAATTTGCCCAAAAACTTTGAGATTTGGTGGAGCTTTGGATTTGCAAAATGCAACTTAATGCTCTTTACATACACTTTGTTTTGTTTTGCCCCAAAGGGTTGTTGCTAGATTTCTTTATTCAGAACCGTGATATCAAAACTGGTTCCTACGATTGTTTTGCTTCAGGAGTCGAAGAAAAAAAAAAAAAAAAAACCCAACGACTTAAGAGAGCTATGGCCTCTTGAAGCGGTAAAAACCATAAAAATCAGCTACATCTCAAAATTGGATATATTTTATTTATCAAGTCACGATCGAAATGCGTAAAAGTTTGGCCAGAAACTTCCAAAAAAAACCAGCAGAAATAAAACGGAGAATTTCACAAAAAAAATGTGTAATGTTGCTGAATTTTGACCCAATTTCTTTATTGATAAAAATTTATTTTTCAATTAGTATATAACGTCCCCAAATCTTCAGTAAACATGACCAAACAATGTTGTAACGACACATATTTTGAGGTTAAGGTTTTCTGACCATTTACTCTCATTGCACGAGTCTTCTCCTTTGTAATTTTACCCCTTCCTATGTACTCCAGATCCTATGGACTATAGTCCAAAAATTGCTTCTATCATAATTTCATGTTAGGCCGAATTTCGGAGCATTTTGGTGGTATTTTGAGTTAAATTTGGGCTCAACTCTGGGCCCATTTACATCCGATAGACTTGTTGTCGTCATGGGCTTTTATTGTGTGCTCCATAGTTGATTGGGGTCATAAATGATACTGAAACCTATGGTTTTAAAGGAGGTTCCGTAATATCCAAAAATAAGAATCCCTCGAGTTTGGGCCCATTCTACATTCGTTTTGGGCCCAACTGCCACTTTTTACTGTTCCCCACGGTTTCTTGGTGTATTTGGTATCGAATTTCTGTAGGGCCTAACAACCTTATACATTTTTTTGTCCCCAAGCAAGTAATCTTTTTTGCTGGAAACCACTTCCACCTAGAATTTTGGGATAAGGTGATGCCCGAACACCTATCCTCCAGTTTTTTTTTTTATGAGTCATTGGATAGAGGGTCCCGACCTTTTTTTTGATGAGTCATTGGAGAGAGGGCCGCTACCTTTTGTAGGAATTGAGTTTAGGATGTAGCGTTGCAAATCGTCAAGAGCTAACCAATCACAAATCCTTGCTTTTGTTATGAGTTTGCTAAGTGTAGCAGAACTACAAGCAGACACTCAGTTATGTAATCCCAAGTTCCCGACTCCCAAGCGAGGTTTTTGGACAACATTCCAAGGGAAAGTTTGGTTTAATAGAAATCTCTTTCCATGATAGAGATGTCGGGACATGGGCTTCATACGTTGTAGGCTATGATGCCTTTAATTTCTAGAGCGTGAAGATTATCGCTTTTGCTTTCGCTTTCGCTTATTTGAGAACCTCTTTCCAATGGAACCATCGTTAGAAAAACGGGCGATCTAACCGCTAGCCGCTTGGTTAGATCGGAACCGCCCACTTGTCGATTCCGGTTTTGGGCTGTTTTGGTGATCGACTTTGTATATTCCGTTATAAATAAACTATCTTATCCTATCGTGGTATTGAAATTCTCTAATAATGGAAACTGCAACCCTAGTTGCCATCTCCATATCTCGTTCACTTGTAGGATTTACTGAGTATGCTTTATATACCGCGTTTGGGCAACCCCCTCTACAACTAAGAGAACCATTCGAGGAACTTGGGGACCAATTGAAATAATTAACCTCCCAAGAAGTTCATTATTTCAATTGAGATAACGAAAAATCATTTTATTTTTTTATTTGGAACCTTAGACGGTTCTCGAAAAAAGATAGCACAAAAATTTATCCCTAGAGTTGATACCAACAGGAATGTATAAACCAGTGCTTTCATAGATTCGATTGTGGTTTACAATGAAATTATATACAGTTTCCATACCTGTTCATTTGGTATTTACAAATTTTTTTTCAAAAAATGTATATAAATTGTCAAAAATAAAGATTTTAGTTTGTAATGCATTTTTAAATTTTTTACATTATGGTAAAAATTAAAAATTGTTTTGGTCATTAATACTCACTTTAATTCAAAAATCGATTCGCTAGAATCTATTTTTTCATTAATTTTTAATTTCATTTGAATGTGTTTTGTTTTAATCGATCTTTATATGCTTTTTATATTTTAGTAGACTTCTTTTTTTTTTTACTTTTTTTTTCAATATTTGTTTGACCGCCCGAAACTTGCCAATTTAGAATGGTTAAATCGGTCAGTTTATCGGTTAGGTCGGTTAAACCGCTTCCGAGCTATATTAACCGTTCCGATTAGATTTTATGAATGGAATAAGTACGAGAAAGCAAGAGATACTTAAAGAGGTTTACGGATCAATTTTGCAGAGAGGTGTGGTTTGCATAAGGTTGCAACTTTAAACAATCGCGCACTTCTACATTTTGTCGTAAGATTTAATTTTGTTACCAAAAACTTTTGTAATATCTCTTAAAGTTTTTTATTCTGAAAATAGTTCAAATCAAGTAAATTTATATAAACACATGAAAATGTTAAAAATAGACGGTCCAAATAATATGTTGTAAACTGCACTATTTTTTATAGTCAAAATCCTTTTTTTTCTATCCATTTATTTCGATGTTTAGATGATCAAATAGAGTATTTTCCAACATCAAAATGACTTTTCTTGATAGATTTTTGAAGTGCACTTAATTCTACATTTTAAAATTGTAACTTTATATAAATCTTCCTTTATAAAGGAGATTCACAAAAGATAAATATTAACCTATATAACATGGATATGCGTATCTATAATGTTTTGCACGTTCGATAATCCATAGACACATATTTGTCCAATACTTTGAAAACCTAGATTTTCTTAACTCCTGTTTTTTTTTTTTTCGTGAAATCCCACAATAAATACATTCAAAACCACCCAAAATTCTACGTTCTTCTTTCTAAAAACTATATAGATCGTTCTGCATTTTTATTTTTTTAATGTTAACATTTTAAGTATAGGTGAGGTTTGTATGAGATGCAAGGCGCACCTTTAAAATTGCCAGAAGATGAAGTTTCGGTTTCAGAAACCTTACGACGGTTTGAAAATCTATGTTCAACTTTATTATGAAATTTAACATATAAAAAATAACGTAGATATTTATAAACACTTCAAAATGTTGAAAATAGAGAGTCTACATAATTTATTACAAGATAAACCATTTTTATGACTTTACCCATATCAACTTGTGAGGTCCATGAGATGGCAGAGTTTCAAGGAAGATCGGGAGATAGAGAGAGCAGGTGGAGTTTATAGGTGAGGAAAAGAGATAATGAAATGATGATTTTAGAGGTCACTAGGAAATATAAACGGATAAATGTGGTAATTTGGTTAATAAAAAAAGTTTAAGGAAGTTAAATGCCACTTTTTATTTTGAAAAACACTTGGAGGGGTCATGAGCTTTTGATGGAGTAAAAAGGTCATTTCGGATTACGATTTTAGAGTGCGGGGAGTACATTTTTCTCTCTATATATTACTCACGTATATAGTTTTGGTGAATCAGTTGACTTGTTAAAACATGTGTGTCTCCTCCTGTGTCAAACGTCCATCTTAGAGACGGACGTTAAAAAGTGGTGCCTCCACTATACCTCAAAATGGATTATGGAAAAATATATTAAAATTATGATTTTTTTTATTTTAAATATTCATATTCATATATACCATAATAATTGAAATTGACAAATCCCCAAATTTTAAATTTAAAAAAGGCCGAGCATTGACGAGCTAGTTGACTAACCAACCAAATTACCTCACCACATTGCATGTCGATATTGGGTGCGGTTTACATAAGGTTCTAATATTGAACAATCAAAGTAAGACACACCTCTAAATTTGGTCATCTAAAAATATATTTTATTCTTTAATTATAAATTTTAAAAGTGGTTCAAATCATATAGATCTATAAATACATAAAGATTTTAAAAATAAATAATTAAAATAATATATCATAAAATATTTTAATTTTGAGTTTTGGAATCTCCCTATTTTTTATATCCATACATCTCGTCCATAGCAATTGAACACTCATTCAAATATAGGAATTGCAAACTTATATAGACTTTTTTTGCCCTCGTCATGTAGAGTTAATAAACCAAGAGGAGGCTTCTCATGTCTGTCATTTCGTCAAATGTAGGACACTCGTTCACATACTTTATCTCAATGCTACGTGTCATATGATCCGAGAATATACGGCCCAAAATTCCGACTAGCGTTAGCCACGTGGAAATCTGAGCATGCCTTTCTCCTGCCTAAACCGATAGCCCGGTCTTTTTACGCAATTAGAATTTCCGACGTTCTAGAGAGAGAAATGACTAAAAGGCCCCTCCCATTATACGATTTTCAAACGCCCCCAAAATCTAATTTTCCTATTACTCGAGAAAACTACCATTAATTAGTAAATAAGATGAATATTTCACCCCTAAACCAGGTGATTACTGTAGGAGCCTTGTTGATATTTACTTCAAATTTGGTCGATCCTTAGTAATGCACCCTTGATAAAAAAGCAGCGCTCGAAAGCCGCGAAGTTTCGACGGTCTGGATTGCCCCACTTGCTGCGCTACATCACTAAGAAATAGATCTTGGCCGCTGTTAAAAGGTATAAATAGCGGTGGTGGCGGGGAAATGAAGCAGCAGTGCTTTTTTTCAAGCGCATGTCCCTCACTCTGAACTGGTGAGCTCTGCATCTCTCTCTACCTTTCGTCTGATTTTAATGGCGATTTCTTTTTGACTCTTTCAATCCTATATGCATCCGTTTGTTCTATGAATTCAGGCTCTAGAGCTGCGAAAATGGTGATGTTCACAGTTACCAGAAAGGAAACCTCTCCCATTGATAGTCAGAAGCCTGGAACATCAGGTCTCAGAAAGAAGGTACCATTTATATGAATCTTGTTTTCAATCTCATTCTTTTTTTTTTGTTTTTTGTTTGTTGATCATGATTATTTATCTAGAATGATCAGCTTATATCTCTTTCTGTGATAAATTCTTCATTCTTTTGGCATTTGTCTTTGGTTTTTGCCTGGATATTTTCTACAATTGATCATTGATTTAGTTTGTATTGAATGTGCTTAATATGGGATTCAGTTGCTGTGGGAGAATCAGATTGTTGTTGATGTTGTTGGATCGCATGTCACAATTTTTTTTCGTTTTGTTTTGTTTTGTTTATGGAGCTTTTTTTTGGATATGTTTTATCAATTTTCGTATCTCTCATGGAGCTCAATATCAATGTGGATTAATTTCTCTGTGGCATAGGTTCGATCTTTAATCTGCTGGATCACTTGATCTGGGCTTCTGGCAGACTCCTCTTTTTTCTTCTCTTTAATTATGATGGCGATTTCGTTCTATGGCAGAACTTTTGCTGTGTGGTTTAAATGTTTCCATTTCCTTGATATTTGATTGTCTGATGCTTTGTTGATCGTAATTTGGATTTGGTACTTATGATTTGCCTTTGCTTAACCAACTTTGATCTGCAAGAGTAATGTGCCTTTGTTTTCTACTTTTTGTATCCAATGCCTTTGTGGATGTAGATTTTACTGGGGGATTGAGAATTCTTAGTTTTTCATGTGGCATTAACTTCTTGAATCCTTTGATATGGCTTTCACTATCTTAATTTTCTTTAGATAGAGGAGTTAAGCTCGTTGTACTTCAGTCATTCATGGTACCTTTACCAATTTTCTGTGGCTTTGTTTGAGAAGAATATCTTGACATGGGAATCATTCGTAGCTTGCAATATTAGCTGCTCTGCAGTTGATATATTCCATTTGCACTATAGTTATGAGCTTGCAATTGTCATGGCCTTATAGATACACTTATAATGGCTCTTATATGGTCATACCTAATGCATTTTAATTTGGTGGTTCAGGTAACCGTGTTTAAGCAACCAAATTATTTGCACAATTTTGTCCAAGCAACATTCAATGCCCTCCCCGGTGAACAGGTCAAAGGCAAGTCTGCATCTGGTTTGCTGCCCATAAGAATCTTTGAGTTGGTTTGGTTTCTCAAATTTGCTTTATACTGTAATCTTGATGATTTAATTTATTTCAACTTTGATGGATTTATATTGATAGAATTAATGAGTCCATGCAATTCCCATCTTCCTTACAGCTTTCATTTTCCTTTGATTAGCTTGGAGTTACAGCTTTTCATTTTCCTTTGACTAGCTTGGAGAAAATCTCCCAGTATTTTATCCTAAAATGCTATGAAGTTGTTCTTGTAAATATATCCTAAATAGCTGTGAAGTTGTTCTTGTAAATATAACCAAATTATCTTTTTATTTTATTTTTTATGTTGTTAACTATTGTATTAAAATAAGTAAAGTATTACAGTAGTCCGTTGAGACGACCCACATGCTGGGTCTCTTGGCAAAAAATGTTAGGTTCCCCAAAAAAAGAGGTCATGTACATAAATAGGGTGGGGCTTATAAGTAATGCCCATTACAAAAGATTTACAAAAAGGTGCACATTACAAAGGATTTACAAAAAGCAGCCGATGATCTAGATAGTCCAAAACATCGTGGGAGACTTGAAGAACAATAGTGGGTCAAAAACTCCAGTGTCTCATGTGCTTGAGAGTGCACCTTCCTTAGCCATTTGGTCCACCAAGGCGTTTGACGTCCTCCAAGTATGCGTCCTTAAGACGGTTGTATCCCTGCAAATGTGCATTATTTCATCATAAATCGAAGCAAGATACTAGGGGGGAGGAGCAAATCCAGCAGCCCAAGAGGTAATATTTTGGGTGTCTCCCTCAACAATCCGTGGTTGACCCCACACGTGGTTGAACAATTTGAGTCCCGAAAGGAGTGCTATAGACTCAGCGAGCTGGGAGTTGGCATGGCCAATTTTCTTGGAAAAAGAGGCCAGGATATTACCGTGGTGGTCTCTGAAGATCCCACTCACTCCTGCTGGTCCAGGGCACTTGTCAAAATGGAGTTTAATTAGGCCTTCCAGTGGTGGGGACCAGTTATTAGTGCGTGAAGCCTGAGGGGAGTGGAAGTGGAGGACTTCTTCCCAATTATGCAGGAAAGTAGAAGCCGAAATGCCTTTGAATACCTGGTGGTTAGAAGCCCAGAATATAACCTGGGAAGTAATTTTGTGGAAGAGTGCCGAAGCTTCCCACTTGATTCCTCGGAAAATTCTTGAGTTTCTCTCGGTCCATATGACCCAAATTGTTGCCGCTATGGATGCCCACCATAAGAGCTTGCTTGCCTTTGGCCAAGGAGAGCCCATTGAGAGTTTAAGGAGGTCTGGTAGGGAACTAGGAGTTACCCAGGAAAGGCCAAAGTGACGAAGGATTTTGCTCCACAAATTGAAGTCTAGGTTACAGTGGATGAAGAGGTGACGTTGCTCTCTTCTTCGTAGAGACACATGACGCAGCGGTTAGGAATGGGAATTCCCCTCCGTTGTAGATGGTCCATTGTTGGAGCTTTTGAAGAGCGCACTATCCTGTTTAAGGCTTGGACTTTTGGTGGAGCTATCGATGACCACACTTAAAGACCACAGAGGTCGGGGAGTGGGGAAATGTGGGGGGTTGCAAGAGTTTTTTGTAGAAGGAGGCAACTGGGAAAGAACCCGAATGGGAAGGGATCCACACTAGGCTGTCAGAAACAAGGAAGGTTGAGTGAGATACAGAGGACAAAGAGACAAAATCCGAAATTTCAGTGTCTGAGAGGGGTTGTTTGAAGGAGGCTTCCAGACCTTGTGGTTACCGGTGACGGTCATCTGGTCGGCTACCAAGGAAGACTGGTTGGTGGATAAGATACAAAGAGACAGATACAAGTCCCTTAAGGGAGTGTGACCCACCCATAGGTCGGACCAGAATCGAACAATTTCACCTCCCCTAGGATGGAAGCGGATGTTATTCCGGAAAAGGGATAGAGAAGACAAGAAAGACTTCCAGGGCCCTGAAGGCCTGCTATGTGTTCTCCCTTCTGGTAGCCAGGTGTTAGAGGGAATTCTGTATTTGCAGCGGATGACTTGTGACCAGAGCAAGTTGTTCTGGGTTGCAAGTCGCAACCTTTATTTTCCAAGTACGGTTGTGTTCTGTTGCCTCAGGATCCAACCAAATTATCTTGGTGACAGTGTTGGTTGTGTTCTCATATGTACAATTTTGAAGAACCATAGAAGTGATTCTTTAAAGGTGACAAGGTGCCTTATTTTCATCCTTTGGGAAGTTCCATTATTTTGTTTATTGTATACAACTAGCAGGGGGATCAGAAACTTCAATGACAATATTAAACTTGGGGTATTGGAGCTTTTCTGTATTTGTAGTTTCTTTGTTTAGTATCAAAAAAAAAAAGAAAGTTTCTTTGTTCAATATTAATTTTATGCTTTTGGAGGAAACTATACCATGTTTTTTGTGTGGAAGGATATCTTGATTTAAAAATTTCAATCAATATAGCCAATTTGATATGCTTGATCCTTGCCTCATTCTCAACATTGGCATTTGTTATGTTTCCCACATTAGATATAAATTCCTTGATGTCTTGTATTTAGCATCATAATATGTGCCTTCAGATGATTTAATTATATAAATGTTTTCTCATAGTTTCAAAAAGCGGACCGCCCAGCGCATTGGCGGCCGCCTAGGGGGATATCCTTGGGTGCCCGCCTGAACCCGCCTAGGTGGCTGCCCAAGGCCTGTGCCCCACCCAGGGCCGGAAACGCGGCTCCTTGGGGGTATTTTTGGGTCATTTTTTTAATACTAAAGGGGAAAAATTGTGGGTTTTAGGTTCATTTGTAACCTAAAACCTATTAGAGACTATTTTAGAGAGAGAAAACCCAAAAAAAAAAAAATTCTACTGAGCCGCTTCGGTTATGGGCGCCCGCTTAGGCGCTGGGCGGCCTGGACCCCCCCGACCGCCTAGGTGCCGCCTAGCGCTTTTTGAAATACTCAGTTTTCTTGATACATTACTCAGTCCATATAATATATTCCTGTTCTGCATATTGTAGGTGTTACACTCGTTGTCTCTGGAGACGGTCGCTACTTCTCTAAAGATGCCATCCAGGTATTATAGGTTCTAGAAATGTATGATTTTGTTACATATTTTTTTATGCTTTTGAATTGTGATTTTGATATTTTTGGTAGATCTCGTGGGTTTATTAGTCAATTTTTATTAAATTTTTATTGCACAATGAAGTGAACTTGTACTATGGTGTATTCTTCCCTATATGAAGAATCCATGTTCCCATGATTTAGGAAAACATTGATTTATGTTTATTTGTTCTAATTATTGTAGTGAATTTTATTGGCTATTTATTGTCTATTGTTATTGAATGATCCATATTTAGTCATGATTAGATGTATGTTCAAATGGTTATGTCCCTGCTTGACTTTGTGCATGTATGAATAGCCTATGTGTTCATGGCTGCAACAGTGCAACCAATCCCGAGGTTAGAGGGACAGGAGAGAGAGAGAGAGAGAGAGAGAGAGAGAGAGAGAGAGAGAGAGAGAGAGAGAGAGAGAGAGAGAGAGTAGTAGTAGTAGTAGTAGTAGTAGTAGTATAGTATATAGTAGTAGTAGTAGTAGTAGTAGTAGTATATACTACTACTACTACTACTACTACTAGTACGTAGTA